ATCTAGTCCAACCCCCTGCAATGCAGGAATCACAGCCAAAGAATCCTGTAAAGCCCTTTACGGCCTAGGACCCTCGTACCTGTTACGATATAGAAGCAATGCGGCCGCGAGCTGGTAGCTTGAAAGCAAAACATAATGGGAATGTTGGGACTGTTCCGTGGGAAACAGAGGGACAGTCAATTCACAGTGCAGAGGGCACCGGAATTAGCTCAGAGTGTAATATGAGCTGTACAGGAAGTACAGGAGGAGTTTGTCTCTCGACGGCTGAAGCTTGAAGAGAGCAGACATGATTTTTGTAACGCTGCAAAGACAGAAATAAAGGCATGTAAATACGTTTCTGTCTATCTCTCTCCCCTGCCCAGGGGGGGCAGGAAAGAGGGGGTGTGTTCTTCTCACGCTGAGGAGGATCGCCTATCGCGACCTAGCCTGTATCCTGCTGGGGAATGCAGACAGGGAGGTCAACAGGAGATCAAGCCGGGTGCCTGGAGAGTGGCCAGTTTCTCCTGATAAAGGCTTGAATCCTAACATATGGTAGCACGGAGCCAATGGTTTGATCCATGAAGCAACAAGAGAGGTTGATGGATCGTACTTCATCCTCTGCAAGGAGATAAAGAAAGAATGTGGTAGCGGGCGGATGGAAACTACAAGGACGGCTGAGCACCGAAGGAGGTGTTTTTTGCTGAGCAACGGATTCCCTCAAGGTATGGTGATTTTATGGCTGTGAGAGTGAACGTGAATTGAAGCATTCTTCGGTTCACTGAGTGTCTGCTTTTGGATGAAACCAGCACTGAAAGAGAGCCACATATTTCTCATACCTGAGTCTTGATAAGCCTGGAATGTCCAGTTGCTAAGCAACGAAACGTCAGTAAAGTGGAAAGTTACTGGCCAACAACGGAAGTAAGGCTGAGCACTGTGAGAGGCTGGAAAAACACTGAGAAAACAGCGTTTGTTTTGTCTGTATATCTCACTGCTCTTGGAGGGACTTTCAAAACAGCCTGCGTTTAGCTGCCAAGTGTGAGGCAGTAAACAGCCAATAGACTTTTGGAATTTTACAGGCTCGAGAGTGAGAGCTGAGGCTTGGATTCAAAATGGATACCAAGAAGGGGGGAGGCTTACCTTACCCACCTCCACTGACTAATGACAATTATTCCTCATGGTCTGTAAAGATGAAAGCCCTGCTTCAGAATCAGAGGATTTTTGGGGTGATTGATAACCCCATCCCTGCTGCACCAACGCCAGGTTGGAATTCACAGAATGTGAGAGCCAGGACGGCCATAATTCTGTGTATCTCAGATTATCAGCTCGTGCATATTCAGGATTTGGAATACGCGCGTGAGATTTGGCATACGCTGCGTAGAATACATCAAAGAGATGCTGGTTCTTCAGCGTTGCTGCATTTTGAAAAGCTAACCAATCTAAGGCTAGCGCCTGATGGAGATGTACAAGCGCATCTGACAGAGATGAAATTCTTACGCCAGCAGATGGCAGAACGCAATTTCCCTCTACAGGAAGAGATATTCTGCTTCATGATTATTAACAGCCTTAATCGGACTTATAAAACGGTTGCAAGTCAGCTTGGTTCTCTACCTGCCGCAGATCTCACGACAGAGAGAATTTGTGCCGTGATTCTCAATGAGAAAGACAGACTTGCTGCAATAGATGTCAAAGACAGGGGGAGAGAAGCTCGGAGTTCTGACACCCTCACTGCTATTGCTAGTGAAGAACAGGCTGTTGCTTTGAACGTTGTCCGTTGTTTCAATTGTGGACAGACTGGGCATCTTCAGCGGAATTGTAAGAAGCCACGTCAACAGAAAGGAGCTAAGGGAAGCTCTGCAAAGCCTGAGGCATCAGGCAAAAGTCGTACCAAGTCCCAGGTGAAACCTGCAAAGGCATTGCTGTCAACAAAAGCCACATTTTCAATGGAGAACGCTTTTATTTTGGACACTGGAGTGACGCAACACATGACGTCGCGGCAAGATCTGTTTTCAACATTTAAGAAGCAAAGCTTCACTGTGAAACAAGCCAACGGTCAGGAGCTGGAAGCGACCGGGTTTGGAACTGTGTATCTTGAGAGTCTGAACTTGACTATTAACAATGTGTATTTGGTTCCTGATTTAAAGTTCAATCTGCTGAGTGTTTCGCAGATCACAAAGAAAGGACTGACTTTGTCCTATGATAAAGAAAGCTGCAAAATCTTCAAAGATGGAGAGCTGTATCTTTCTGCCAGAGAGAAAGATGGACTGTATTTGTTGACTTTTGATCAAAGTGATTGCATAAATTGTAATGCATCTGATTCTAACATGATTTCTCTCGCAGGTGTGTCGAAAAACGTCCAGAAGACGACGCAAGTAACCAAAGCTTTTCAGCGAGTGTATGCTGATGTGATTGGTCCTCTAGCACCGTCTAGAGGCAATGCAAGATATTATCTTGTGTGTGTGGATTATTTCTCTCATGTGTGGGTATATATATTGCAGAAACCACAAGAAGCCTTAGAAAGGTTTAAAGAGTTTTGTGACAAGGTTAAGGATGTTCATGATGCTAACATTGATTGTCTTTTCACAGATGAAAAGCCAGTTTTTCTTTTACAGGATTTTCAGGATTTCCTGGATAAGAAAGGGATAAGGCACAAGACTGCTGTTTCTGCAGGAGCATGGAACAAAAGTGTCTGTGTGCAAGTGAACAAAGAATTGCAAAATGGCATGAAGGCGCAATTGCTGAGTTCACATTTGCCACATGAGTATTGGGCGGAATCGTTAATGTGTTTTTGTTACAGTTGGGTGAGAAAGGTTTCAAAAGGTTTAGGAAGTTCTCCTTTTGAAAAGCTATTCCACAGAAAACCTTCTGCTGCCCATTTTAAGGTTTTTGGGTCTCATGTGAAGACTGAAGCTCCAGGTGGAGTAAAGAATGCTAAAGGCATTTTTGTGGGTTATGAAAAGGGTCTCTACAGAGTAATTTTGTCTGAATCTGGTCAGGTGGTTCTCACAAAATTTCTAGAGAGTGCTCCTGAACAGGAGAAAGTAATTGTTCACACATTTCCCACTGAGGACAGTTCAGATGATGATGATGATTTTACTGATTACAGTGGTACTGAGAGTGACAGTGATGGCTCAAAGAGCTCAGTTGTCACAGTCATTGAGAGGAAATCTCACACAATGGATAGACCTTCACAGGTGAAGGATGAACCACTGTTTACTATCGGAACTGGTTCTCCAAAGAGTCCTGAGACTGAACCAGTGAGCAGAGAGGATCAGCACCTCATACGCAGGTCTGAGAGAGTTACAAAGGGTGTACCACCCAAGAGGTATTCAAAAGAGTTTGCTAACTCAGCTGTAGCATGTGTTACTACTGTTGACAACTCAAGACAGGTTGAAGCTGTGTCTAAGTCAGAGACAAAGACACAACAGAGAGTTGCTAAGCGTAACACTACATTCCCTAGCCAAGGTAATGCAGATGCACTCATTCCTTGGAAGACAGACAACCAGAGAGGTACACTGGGAAACCAGTGGCGGGTAGTTCCAAGGGTGGAACTGAAACAACAGGCGAGTGTTATATGTATAACAACTGTTTGTTTTCTTCTCTGGATCACGCTTTGCTCGCAGCGCACATTGATTCACATGGGGAGTATGTTACGATATAGAAGCAATGCGGCCGCGAGCTGGTAGCTTGAAAGCAAAACATAATGGGAATGTTGGGACTGTTCCGTGGGAAACAGAGGGACAGTCAATTCACAGTGCAGAGGGCACCGGAATTAGCTCAGAGTGTAATATGAGCTGTACAGGAAGTACAGGAGGAGTTTGTCTCTCGACGGCTGAAGCTTGAAGAGAGCAGACATGATTTTTGTAACGCTGCAAAGACAGAAATAAAGGCATGTAAATACGTTTCTGTCTATCTCTCTCCCCTGCCCAGGGGGGGGCAGGAAAGAGGGGTGTGTTCTTCTCACGCTGAGGAGGATCGCCTATCGCGACCTAGCCTGTATCCTGCTGGGGAATGCAGACAGGGAGGTCAACAGGAGATCAAGCCGGGTGCCTGGAGAGTGGCCAGTTTCTCCTGATAAAGGCTTGAATCCCCGAGCGGTGACCCCGCGGGAGCTCCTAGTTGATGTGCATCAGCAGGACTCCCCCTATTGGTGGTTAGCCCTTACCAGTCTTCAAGCAAGCAGACTGAAGCCAGTTAGTTGATAGGACCAATGCCTAAGCCAATAACGCTCAAATCCTGTAATCAATAAAGTTGTGGCCTAATTTGACCCATTAACTCGAATTCTTGTGTCTCGTGTTTTTATTTCTGAGGGAGGAGGCGGGAACTCGCCACACAAATAGGGAGGTGGGGACAAGCATCTTAGATTTGTAGAATTGTAGAGTTGGAAGGGGTCCCCCAAGAGTCATCTAGTCCAACCCCCTGCAATTCAGGAATCACAGCCAAAGAATCCTGCAAAGCCCTTTACGGCCTAGGACCCTCGTACCTACAGGACCGCCTCTCCTGGTATGTCCCACGGAGGACCTTACAGTCTTCAAACAAATACATCTTGGAGATCCCGGGCCACAGGGAGGTTAGGCTGGCCTCAACCAGAGCCAGGGCCTTTTTGGCCGTGGCCCCGATCTGGTGGAACGCTCTGTCACAAGAGACCAGGGCCCTGTGGGACTTGACATCTTTCCACAGGGCCTGCAAGAGGGAGCTGTTCCACCAGGCCTTTGGCCAAGGCACAGTCTGACCCCCTCCTTTGGTAAGTCTCACAGAACTCTAGCCCAATGGTTGCCATTAATTTGATTTTGAATTGATTTTAAAATGAATTGATTTTAGAACGCTGTGTTACTTTCATTGTTGTTAGCTGCTCTGAACCCGGCTTCAACTGGGGAGGGTGGGATATAAATAAATTATTATTATTATTATTATTATTATTATTACAGATGGCCACTCACTCTCTGCTTAAAAACATCTGGTGAAGGGGAGTCCACAACCTCCTAAGGGAGACTGTTCTACTGCAAAACAGCTCTTACTGTCAGAAAGTTCTTTCTGATGTTTAGTCGGAATCTCCTTTCTTGCAACTTGAAGCCATTGGTTCAGTTTCTGGAGCAGAAGCAAAAAAGCTTCCTCCATCTTCCATGTTTCAGCCCTTAAGATATTTGAAGATGGCTATTATATCTCCTCTTGGTCTCCTCTTTTTCCAGGCTAAACATACCCAGCTCCTTCAACCGTTCCTCATAAGGCTTGATTTCCAGACCTTTGATCATCTTAGTCACCCTCCTCTGCTCATCTTCCAGCTTGTCAACATCCTTCTTAAATTGTGGTGCCCAGAACTGGACACAGTATTCCAGGTGTGGCCTGACCAAGGCAGAAGAGAATGGTACTTTTACTTAATAATAATAATAATAATAATAATTTATTATTTATACCCCGCCCATCTGGCTGGGCTTCCCCGGCCACTCTGGGCGGCTTCCAAAAGAATATTAAAATACTATAATACATCAAACATTAAAAGCTTCCCGAAACATCTGGACACCAGGCTTCCCTTGATGCAGCTTAGAAAAGCGTTAGCTTCTTTTGTTAATTCATCTTAAGCTTGTGTTTGCCTTTCACAACCTAAGAACAGAAAAACAGTGTTGCTGGATCAGGCCAGTGGTCCATCTTGCCCAACATCCTATTCTCCCAGTGGCCAACCAGATGCCTCTTCTGGGCAACCCGCAAGCAGAATTTGAGCACCAGAGACCTCTCCCTTCCTGTGGTTTACAGCAACTGGTTCAGAAGCATTGCTGCCTTGTAGCCATTGATGCCTGGCACCTTTCAGATGTTTGGAGCCATAATAATAATAATAATAATAATAATAATAATAATAATAATAATAATTTATTATTTATACCCCGCCCATCTGGCTGGGTTTCCCCAGCCACTCTGGGTGGCTTCCAACAAAATATTAAAAATACATTAAAACATCAATCATTAAAAACTTCCTTCTACAAGGCTGCTTTCAGGATGTCTTCTAAATGTCAGATAGTTGTTTATTTCCTTGACATCTGATGGGAGGGTGTTCCACAGGGTGGGTGTCACTACCGAGAAGGCCCTCTGCCTGGTTCCCTGTAACTTCACTTCTCGCAGTGAGGGAACCGCCAGAAGGCCCTCGGAGCTGGACCTCAGTGCCCGGGCAGAACGATGGGGGTGGAGACGCTCCTTCAGGTATACTGGACCGAGGCTGGTTAGGGCCTTCAATATCAGCACCAACACTTTGAATTGTGCTCGGAAACGTACTGGGAGCCAATGTAGGTCTTTCAAGACTGGTGTTATATGGTCTCGGCAGCCACTCCCAGTCACCAGTCTGGCTGCCGCATTCTGGATTAGTTGCAGTTTCCGGGTCACCTTCAAAGGCAGCCCCACATAGAGCGCATTGCAGTAGTCCAAGCGGGAGATAACCAGAGCATGCACCACTCTGGTGTGACAGACATCAGGCATGGAGGGTCTCAGCCTGTGCACCGGTTGGAGCTACAACCCCCAGCTGTGTGGAATTGCTTGAATACATTATCCTGCTGAATATCAGCTTCTTGGTGCTAGAAGACAGTTGTCCCTTTAGGGCATTTCCTCAAGGACAGGAAAGCAGAATGCAAAAGACTTGTAGAATATACTACACTGGAATTAAAAAGGAGAGGGAACAAATGCACAGCCCGTCTTGGTGTGGGCAAGTGTGCATTCTTTCCTACGTGACACTTTGCAGGAACAGCTAAGTGAAGTTAAAGGCTAATGTGGAACCGGAGGCATCTGGAGTAAGTATTCATTGTCTGCAGTGGTTACCTCCTTGGGAGATCTGAACGTATTTTTCTTTCCGCTTTCCCTCGTGACTATGTCACCACAGCAAGTGAATAATGCAGCGTTCTGGTGTGGGGCTGTCTCTGTTTTGGCTTCTTTTTTAAACATGAGGGAGAAAGGCGCAGGGAGAAACAGTTCATGGCTATAGGAAATCGTGATGTGCCTGAACTGCCTCCCCCTACTGAGAGAGATGTTCTCTAGTTCTTCCCTGATCGCTTAGCAAAAAGAGGATGTGAGATTTTCATGGTGGAGCAGGAGGAGGAGGCAACTGACAGCTTCTAGCCAAGTTGGCTGCGCTCTGCTTCCACAGCTGGAGGAAGCGATGCTTCTGACCGATTTCAGAAACACTTCTGGAATGGGATTTTGAAAAGTCCTGCGAGATGCACCTCCTCCTTCCATGCACACAGACTCGGCTGTCTCTGTAAATAAGCGCAAGCCTCCAAGAGTTCTGGGTCTCTTTGCCTGCAGGTAACGCAAATGAACTCAGGAGCAACCGGAAAGGATTTGGAGCCGATGGCTGGGTGGTTTGGTGCGTTGTTTTTTTCCATCATCGAGCTAAAGTGTTAGCAAAGTGGAAACGGGTGACCTGATTTAACCATCCCTCCAGCAAAGGCACCCTGCAGCCTGTCTCCACTTTCTGAAAAACTTGTCGCTCGGAGAGAGAGAGACCACAGCTCCGCTGTCACTTAACACCCCTAATCTGTCATATTGACGTGTCCACAGAATGGCCTGCAGCCTCGTCTGTTTCACTGGCTGCCTTGACAGTTACAGGGATATCTCTTCCCTTGATAGTTTCTAGCTTTCTTGGGGGAGGTCCAGACCTTTCGAGAAAGCTTTAACACTGCTTGCAGTGCCATGTGGTGTTTTGTTTTCTTACCACCATCCCCTCCCCGCTCCAAAATGTCCCCAGGGAAGGCTCCCATTTCTGCCACTCCACCCCCAGAATTGACACTGGGGTGAGTTCTGAGTGGCTGTAGATCTTTTAAGGGCACCGCTGCTAAAACTGAAAGTTCTCACTGCTCCGAGTGCTACTGCGTAGAAACGAGGATGTGCAGCAGCCTTCCTCACTGCTGGTGTGCAATACTACCATTTTCTGCTTTTTCTTCACCCGCATACCCAGCTCTGCCAGTTCAGCTCAACAGCTAAATGTGCTTTAGGGACAAGGGAATGTCAGAAGATCCTGCAGGATGAGGCCAATGTCATCCTGTTCTCACAGGGATTAAGTAGAACATTTTCCACTCCTGTGTTTTTGAGTATTACGGAAATGACAGGGGGCACATCTTTAAAGTTCTTTAAAAAGATAAAGGGACCCTTGACCATTAGGTCCAGTCGCAGATGACTCTGGGGTTGCGGCGCTCATCTCGCTTTATTGGCCGAGGGAGCCGGCATACAGCTTCTGGGTCATGTGGCCAGCATAACTAAGCCACTTCTGGCAAACCAGAGCAGCGCACGGAAATGCCGTTTACCTTCCCGCCAGAGTGCCCTTGCAGCCAACGTAGCTCCATCCTTATTTCAGACACTGTGATACATTAGTATATTGCAATATACAGCTGGTGATATATCATGAAGTTCAAAACCAGATATCACCCAGCCCTAGCTGTCACAAAGGCAGTTTGCTAAGCAGGGAGGAAAGCGTTGTGCCTAGACTGACTGGATTCTCCATCGTCTGCCCTGGCAAGCGGTACCAGGCACTGACAAAACAGGTTGGCAGGTAAAACGGCATCCAGGTGGCATCCCTCTCTGCAAGCTGCCAGGAAGCAGATTTGACCGCCAAGCCCCTCCTAGATTCACCAGGCAGCAAATGCTCAGCTTACAATTCATCAGAAGGACAGCCGTCATCTCTGAAGTTGTGCCGGGATGCTGGGAGGATGGAAATGTCTTTCAACATACCTGCGCATCCCATTGATCTCCACCTCAAAGCAGAGTTTGCCGTGGTGTTGACAAAAGGGAGCGCATTGTGCGCTAATGGAGTACAGATAGGCACAAAGGCTGCAGGTGACGAGAGATTTCTGGCTCCGTGTTCTCGGGAAATAAAAGGCAGGCATTCAAGTCAAGAACTTTAAAAGCCAAAGCACATATATTACATACACGAATGTCCCTCGCTGTTGGAATGTTTGCAGCCAAGAATAGCTCAGGTGTGGCACGGGGGCTGATTCACACAAAGCTGAAGGCCAAGCAACTTCTCCGCCTGTGAAAAAGCAGCAACGGAATCCACAGAGGAGATCCTGCATGCACAGGGAATTCTAGAGCGCAATGAGGGCACACTCTCAGTACACTTCGGCCACTTGCTCTTTTAAAAAAATATTTATTAAGTTTACATTTATATCACATTTAAACAAATCCTTATTATACTCATTACATATTTGCTCAACCGAGCTTCGACTTCCCTCCTTCCCATCTCAGGGCTTCCATATTTCATTCTTACTTCATAGCATTTATACATTTTCCCATTTACGTGTCACTCCTTCCGTTGCTGTTGTTGTTGTTGTTGTTGTTGTTGTTTAGTTGTTTAGTCGTGTCCGCCTCTTCATGACCCCATGGACCAGAGCACGCCAGGCACTCATATCTTCCACTGCCTCCCGCAGTTTGGTCAAACTCATGCTGGTAGCTTCAAGAACGCTGTCCAACCATCTCGTCCTCTGTCGTCCCCTTCTCCTTGTGCCCTCCATCTTTCCCAACATCAGGGTCTTTTCCAGGGAGTCTTCTCTTCTCATGAGGCGGCCAAAGCCTTGGAGCCTCAGCTTCAGGATCTGTCCTTCCAGTGAGCACTCAGGGCTGATTTCCTTCAGAATGGAGAGGTTTGATCTTCTTGCAGTCCATGGGACTCTCAAGAGTCTCCTCCAGCACCAGAATTCAAAAGCATCCATTCTTCAGCTATCAGCCTTCTTGATGGTCAAGCTTTCACAGCGGTAGAGCATCTGCACTGCATGCAGAAAGTCCCACCCGCAGCATTTCCAGGCGCACTTGGTGGGGGCATGGGAGAGGGCCTTCTCAGTGGTGGCTCCTCCAAGGCAAGTTTGGAACTCCCTGCCTAGAGAAGCAGTTGTTCCAACAAGCTTTGGGGAGCTGACTGCTTTTTAAGGGAAGGGCTTTCTATTTTTATTTTTATTTTGTACAGTCTTTTTTATTCAGATTTACACTGCACATTTAAATTCAAGCATTAGACATCACCATAAGCATTTAGAATTCCCTGAATCCTCCCCCCTTTCATGGTTTCCGTTTTCAATCTTTTTCAACTGCCTCACATATTTTCTCAATTTTTCTTTAATAATCCATTTTTGCTAATCCTAATGTTAGTTTTTAATACATTACAAGCATTACTCTAATCCTGCCAAAGTTTTTAGTTGTTTACAGTGTTCTTGTAAGTACATTGTAAATTTTTCCCATTCCGTATCAAA